CTTCCTAGGCTTCCCCCCTGACGCCCTAGGGTGGCAGTTCTACCACCCCTCCTCTCGTCGTGTTCTGTCCTCCCAGGACGTCACGTTCGATGAGTCAGTCCCCTTCTACCGCCTCTTCCCCTACCACACTCCTTCCCTCCCCCCGCCACCGCACTTCCTTATGCCAGGTCCCCCCCAGGTAGACCCCCTTCCCCCTCAGGGTCCTGCCCCTTCAGGTGTGTCCCAGGTAGACGCAGTCGAGCCGGTCGAGGTTGCTGGTGACTCTGGTACTGCTGCGGGTGCTGAGCCTGGGGGTGCTGACTCTGAGGGTGCTGCGCGCGTGGGCGCTGAGCCTGGTGGTGCTGAGCCTGGGGGTGCTACTACTGAGGGTGCTGAGCCTGGGGGTGCTGAGCCTGGGAGTGCTGAGTCTTGGGGTGCTGAACCTGGGGGTGCTGCGACTGGGGGTGCTGAGTCTGGGGGTGCTACGTCAGGAGCTGCTGAGCCAGGGGGTGCTGCTGAGCCTGGAGTTGCGGAGCCTGCGGCCACTGGACCTCCCCTTCTGGCGTCTGGCGGTGCAGGGCCTGGAGGCTCTCCGGGTGCTTCATCTCAGCGGGAGCCACTCTCTCCACAAGAGCTGCGCCAGTGGTTTGCTCGCCGCTGGAGGCGTACTGCTGGAGCTGGAGCTTCTTCGGTCGCTGAGGGTACTTGTGCCGCCGGTCCCGGGGCTCCTGTGCTTTCGAGTCCGCCTGCCGCTGGTTCTACTGAGGGTGTTGGTGCTGAGACTGCTGCTGTCCTTCCTGGCGATGGTCCTGCTGCGGGTGCTGCTGGTGCTGGTGCCGCCGGTCCCGGAGGTGCTCGTCCTGGGAGTGCTGGAGCTGCTGGGCTTGCGGGTACGACTGGAGCTGGAGCTGCTGAGGGTGTTGGCGCTGAGGCTACTGGTGTCAGTCCTGGCGGTGGTCCTGCTGCGGGTGCTGCTGGTACTACTGGAGGTCCTGCAGCTGGAGGTGCTGTTGGCGCTGGTGCTGCCGCTGAGGGTGCAGGTGCTGTCCCTGCTGTGTCTCGAGTTGCCGCGCAGCCTCGGCTGGACTTCGTTCCGCTCCTTCAGCAGGTTCTTGGTCTTTCTCCTCCTATAGAGTGTCCACCGCCTGTCCAGTCACAGTCACAGCTAGAGCCCGCCTCCCCACTTCCTGCTCCCTCTCCTTACACTGGTCCTACTGGAGGTCTTGCTGAGCGTCGTGAGCCTGCGTCTTGTCCCGCGTCGCCTGTTTGTGCTGCTCGCGCTAGTGGTCGCGGTTCGCGTCAGCGTCCTCCTTCTATCCCTGGCACCCACCGGATGTCTCTGCGTTCGTCTACTGCTCCTCTGCGTGCCCCTTTGCCTTCTCCTCCTGAGTCCTCTCTTCCTGCACTTGCCGACCCAGAGTCAGACTCTCTCCGTACTGCCAGTCCTACTGTCACGCGTCTCCTTGCTACTGTCGTCACTGACCCTTCCTTTGAGTCCACTGCTGCGTCTGCGCTTGCTGCTGAGCTCGTCGAATTTGCTGCTCGCTGTCGTCTAGACTACGCTGCTGGTCTTGTCACTGAGTCTGCGTCTGTCTGTCCTCCGTCCGTCGAGGGTGAGTGTGCTCTTGGCACGGACGTCCTTAAGGACAGGCAAGAGGAGTTCCAGTGTCTGGCTGCTGCTACACCTCATCTCGCGTCCGTACTACTTGCCCCTGAGGGAGACCCGGATGCACTAGACATCCCGACTCCGCGCTCTTACGCGGAGGCCGTAGAGGGTCCCTACTCCTCTCAGTGGCAGGCAGCTATGGATGGAGAGATGGCTTCCTGGAAGTCCACAGGCACCTACGTTGACGCGGTTCCCCCTCCTCGGGCGAACATCGTCAGTGGCATGTGGATCTTCAGGTTGAAGCGGCCGCCGGGCTCTCCACCTGTCTTCAAGGCGCGGTACGTGGCTCGTGGCTTCAGTCAGCGGCAGGGAGTTGACTACTTTCAGACCTTCTCTCCCACCCCGAAGATGACCACTCTTCGGGTGCTGCTGCACATAGCCGCTCAGCGCGACTACGAGCTCCACTCTCTTCACTTCAGCACTGCTTTCTTGCAGGGTAGCCTGCAGGAGGAGATCTGGCTACGTCGCCCACCTGGCTTCACTGGGAATTTCCCTCCTGGCACCCAGTGGAGCCTCCGACGGCCAGTCTACGGTCTTCGCCAGGCACCGCGTGAGTGGCACGACACACTGAGGACCACGCTTGCGGCTCTTGGGTTTGCTCCTTCTACTGCTGACCCGTCGTTGTTTCTGCGCACCGACACTTCTCGGCCGCCGTTCTACATCCTCGTGTACGTTGACGACTTGGTCTTTGCCACAGCGGACACTGCTGGACTCGCCTACGTGAAGTCCGAGCTGCAGAAGAGACACACGTGCGCAGACCTGGGTGAACTGCGCAGCTACCTTGGCTTGCAGATCACTCGGGACAGAGCACGACGCACCATTACCTTGACTCAGTCACACATGGTGCAGCAGGTCCTTCAACGCTTCGGCTTCACGTACTCCTCGCCTCAGGCCACTCCTGTGTCTACTCGCCACTCGCTCTCAGCTCTGCCATCGGATGAGTCCGTAGAGTCGAGTGGCCCGTACCCAGAGCTTGTTGGCTGCCTCATGTACCTGATGACCTGCACACGACCTGACCTTGCATACCCTCTTAGCATTGTTTCACGCTATGTTGCTCTTGGGAGACACCGACCAGAGCACATGGCTGCAGCGAAGAGGGTGTTGCGCTACTTGTGCAGTACGTCGGGCATGGGGCTAGTGCTTGGAGGGCGGAGTCCAGTGGTCCTCACTGGGCACGCGGACGCTTCTTGGGCTAACGACCAGGCTACGCAGCGGTCCTCACAGGGTTACACCTTCAGTCTTGGTTCCGGCTCTGTTTCGTGGCGGGATACTCGCTCGTCTTGTGTTCTCGGCTCCAGTTGTGAGGCTGAGATCTACGCCGGGGCCATGGCTTCTCAGGAGCTTCGCTGGCTCACCTACCTGTTGACCGACCTTGGAGAGCCGCCTCGTTCTCCTCCAGTGCTGTACGTAGACAACAAGGCCATGCTGGCCTTGTGTCGAGAGCAGCGTCTGGAGCACAGAACGAAACACATTGCTCTCCGCTACTTTCTTGCTCGTGAGGTGCAGCAGCGTGGTCAGTTGCAACTTGCGTACGTGGCCTCTGAGGCCAACACTGCTGATGTTTTCACCAAGGCACTGCCGCCTTGTGATCATCAGCGCTTCTGCACTCAGCTGGGACTTTTACCTGTCTTACCTCACTTGCTCACCTCTTGATCTTACTTGTACTCTTGCATATATATATACCTGCTTTTGCTTGTTTAGTGTTATATATATATGTGCACTCCTGCATGTGAACTGGCCTTGTGGCCTTGACCTTGTTCTCGGAATGTGTGGTGACTTTGTGATCCACCCTAAGCTTGTTTTGCTTTGCTTTGCTTGACTGGTCTTGTGACCCCTTGTTCTCCCCCACTTTGCCTATGGGGGTGTGTCAGATATATATGACATAGCTATTGTAGGCATAGTAGGGTAGCACATATGGGGTACAGCTTTCTAGGGTTTGTATTTGTACCCAATTTTCACCTAGTCATCACCATTCTCGTTCAACTCTTCTCACCCTCCGCCCTTCCTATCTCCCCTCGCCTATCCTCTCCCCCGTCGCCCTTTCTCTCCTCCGTCGCCCTTTCTGTACCCCGTCGCCCTTTCTTTCTCCCGTCGCCCTTTCTCTGTCACGTCGCCCTTTCTCGCTCCCGTCGCCCTTGCTCTCTCCCGTCGCCCTTTCTCTGTCACGTTGCCCTTTCTCTTTCCCGTTGCCCTCCCTCCCGTCGCCCTTTATCTCTCCCGTCGCCCTTTATCTCTCCCGTCGCCGATCCTCTCTCCCGTCGCCCTTCCTTTCTCCCGTCGCCTATCCTCTCTCCCGTCGCCCTTTATCTCTCCCGTCGCCTATCCTCTCTCCCTCGAAACAGTCATCGCCCTTCCTCTCTCCCCTCCCGTCACCCACCTCGGCGCCCTGGCGCTCGCCCCGAAATGCCTGCAAGTCACCCTTCCTTTCTCCCCTCCCATCTCCCCACACCCTACCATTCCACAATTTTCACTCAATCAGCTCTCTACGTGCGTTGTCGTTTCCTTCTCGTTCTTCTTTTTTTTATTCCTAACATAAAACTTCTCTGTTTTTTATGCATTTATGCTTTTCCTACGCTGTTTGTGCCGCTCTAGCAGGTCCATGTCTGAGGCGTTTGTTGTGCGTGAATTGCACATGCAAAACTTGTTGAAATTGGCCCCCTCGTGTAATCGGGAATCGCACGTCGCATTTGCACATGCTTCCGACATTTTTTGTGAAAATCACTGTGAAGACTTCAACGCGTCTGAAAAACAAACCAGAACAACGCTTTAATCGTCAAAAGCATTAAAAGGTTAGTTTGAGATTTCAAGTGGATCCACTAGAAGGGGGGGGTCACTATTTTAGCTGCTGGCTTTAAGTAGCGGGTCAGGGCGTATTCCTACGGCCTCCCATAAAAAAACCTCCTATCAAGATTGTACCTTTTGCCTGGTAAAAGTAGCGAGAGATTTTGGGTTTAGGGAATTTTCTAGTGAGAGCTTGATAGGAGGTTTTCTTGATAGGAGGATAGGAATACGCCCTCAGTGCGCCCATAACCCCCAAGGACAACGAGCCTGTGACCCTTCTGTAGGATCAATCGGGGATCACCAGTGGACCTCTGACAAGTCTAATGATAGCCACATTATCAGCAATTTTGGAAACATGGTAAAGTGCCTATATTCTGGAAATGGTGATATAGTGATCGTTATTGCACTTGGAAAAACTGATGTTACTATTATTTTACAATCACACATGAGATCAAACAAGCAGCAAGAAAACAGAAGAGCCTGCTCACAATCGTTAAACGGTTGCATCTCAAATTTAAATCCATAGACGATGCGCCGCAAAGGGCGTATTTCACATTATCAACCCAGCCTCATATCATATCCACAGGTGGTCAAAAGCATCTCCCCCGAGCCTGTCGTCCCCTCCAGCATAGGGATCATACTCAAGCACGTTGAAATGCTCGTGGCGCGTCTCGTCCTTGTTCGGCGAGTCGAACTCCTCGTACAACTCCTCCTGCTCAATGGATTCCTCCTCCCCTTCGACGTCGTCCGCGTCAGCATAACCAGCTCCGCGTTCAAGCGTTTTCCTCCTCTTCCACCAGTTGCTAACTGACCAGCCTCCCCCTTTCCCACCGCCTCCTCCGCCTCCAACAGGAATGGTCGGCATCTGGAATCCCATTCCGCCGTTCCCAGTTTTCTTCTCTTTCTGCCCTGGGTTCTGCCGCGGACGGTTCGTGCTTATCCTCTTCAGAAGCTTCTCCGACACAATCCTGCTGCTAATTTCCTTGTTGTAAGGAATCGAGGCGTATACGTCGTGCCACCATGAGGCAGGGTTAACTCCGAACGAAGACTGGATAGTACTCGCGGCCGCCGATAACGCCCGCATTTGGCGCTGGATTCCCGCCCTCCGCCTGCTGCACGTCATAAAATGCGGGTACAACTGATACATCCGCGAGCTAAGATTCGACACGCCGAAATCCTCTCCCGTAACATTGTCAAAATCGAAGAAACCCCAGGGGTAGTTAGTCGTGGTGGTGGTGATGTTATTTGTTGGCCGGACGGACGGCAGCGCGTCGCAGTTGATATAGTACGGATTCCACCGTCCGCCAGTCCCGTTGATTACGATCATCTCCACATGGTTCAGCCCGGGAACGCCGCTGCAATTCGCCGTGACATTCGCGCTCGCGGAGAGCTGCTTCCCGTTGTTGTATCCCAGGTGCTGCGAGCAGTAACCGGTCCAGTTCTTAGCGGCTTCCACGGGCGGCGAGGGGTTGCACGGGATGCCCGGCGCCCACTCCGTGCGGTTGCACAGATTCGATAGGAACGGCCAGTTCTGGAGGGGAGGGGAGGGGGGGAAAGGGAGGAAGGTTGGGTGGAGATATGGGGTTGCATGTCTTGATGCCCGGCGCCCAATCTGTGCGGTGACAGAGATGCACAGGAACGGCCAGTTCTGGAGGTGGAAGGGAAGGGAAGAAGAGGGGAGTGAAAGATGGGAATTATCGCATTGGGGAACCTAACTACTACCGGAGGGGATATGATGTGCTAGAGCGGAGAAGCGTCTGACTTACATACCTTGCGCCAGCCTGGCGTTTCGAAGCGTGAAATGAAGGTGGTGTACCATTTGTAGCCGAGCCCTCGGCCCGCCCAGGAGTGGCAGTTGTTGTCACACCAGTTCTGGCAGCTCATGATGCCCGACTGCCACGTCGGCTTCACCACAATCACACTCTGAATCTTATTGCTGTGGGTGGGAGAGGAGAGGAGAGAGGGGAGGAGTAGGCCAGCGGGAAGAGGGAGGAGGAAAGAGGGAGGAGGGAAGAGGCATTGTCACTCCACTCACGCATTGTCACTCCAATCTTTTCACCGTCGTGATTGGATATGCACACGGCGCCATCATTAGTGAGCCCTGACGTCTGCAGGCCAGCTACTGTAACTCCCCCCATGTCTCACAGATAGGCTGCTGCTAGCACTCACCCGTGGCCTGTGTTGATCTTCACACCGTCGTGGTTGCGAATGCACACAGCGCCATCAATGGTGAGCCCTGACGTGGCAAAGTCCAGGTAGTAGCAATGCGTGCCTGCTATGACGTAGTTGCACGTGTCCAGGTTGCCTGGAGAGGGGAGTGGGGAGAAGGGGGAAGGAGGGGGGAGAAGGGGGAAGGAGGGGGGATAAGGGGGAAGGAGGGGGGAGAAGGGGGAAGGAGGGGAGAGAAGGGGGAAGGAGGGGGGAGAAGGGGGAAGGAGGGGGGAGGCAGGGAATGCGGGTGTCAGCGCCTCAATTGACCAAGTCGAAGTAGTAGCAGTGCGTGTCTGCGATGATGTAGTTGCACGTGTCCAGGAATCGTGATGATGTTGTCCTGAATCGTGTTGAGCATGCAGTCCGCCCACACACGCACCAGCACTCACTCACTCTACTACCATCTCAGATCTCAGCCAATCCCAGACCGATCAACTGTACATCCCCCCCAGGCAGACACGGTCACACAGCTTCTGAGGCACCACCACCACCATCACCACCGCAGCAGGAACGCAACGCACCAGGGTTGTACCAGTGCAGGTCGTAGTAGATCCCGGATCCATCTCCATTCGGCACGGGGTAAATAGCACTCTCCGCCGTGATGATGTTGTCCTGAATCGTGTTGAGCATGCAATCCGCCACGTTCCCGTCTCCCTGCCCGCACTGCACGCCGCCGAACTGGAAGTCCGTGATGAAGTTGTTGGCAATGATGGTGCCCACTGTCCCCGCGTACATGAGGACTGGGGTCCACGAGCCTGGGGGAAGCAGGGGGAGAAAGAAGAGACGGCGCGGGGTGCATGCAGGTGAACGGGGAGCCAATTCACTGCCCGCACTGCACGCCGCCGAACTGGAAGTCGGTGATGAAGTTGTTGGCGATGATGGTGCCCACTGTCCCAGAGTACAATAGTACGGGAGTCCAGGAGCCTGTTGCATGAAGGCAGAGCAGGCAGAGCGGGCAGAGCGGGCAGAGCAGGCAGAGCAGGCAGAGCGGGCAGAGCAGGCAAGGAAGTGAAGGCTTGAGCTGGAAGTCCGACATAAGTTGTTGGCGATGATGGTGCCCACCGTGGCCCCTTCGACCCATCCCCCCTCTCCTTCCCGCCTCGCCTCTTCCCGCCCCCCTCCCCCTCCCCTCCACACCCACTCTCCCCCGCCCAGCGCACCTCGGATCTCGCAATTGGTGACGCGGTTGAGGGAGCGGATGAGGTCGACGGGGTCGCTCCCCCCTTTCCCCCTTGCCCCCCTCGTCCCTTACTCCCACCCCCCCCCCTCCCCCGCACCTCGGATCTCGCAGTTGGTGACGCGGTTGAGGGAGCGGATGAGGTTGACGGGATCCCCGCACATGGCGAAGCGGATGACGCTCCAGCTGTGGAAGACGAGGTCGCGGTCGTAGTAGTCGTGCCACAGCTTCATGTAGCTGAACTCCGTTGCGCCAGACCGGTACACATCTGTGCGCCCGTGAATGCGCCCCTGAGGAGAGAGAGGGGGAAGGGGAGAGAGGTGGGAGGAGGGGTAAGGGAGGGGGGAAGAGGGGTAAGGGAGGGGGGAAGAGGGGGATGCGGTAGGGGAGGGGAGAAGGGATGCAGGGGAGGAGGAAAAGGGGTGAGGAGAGGAGATGAGAAGAGGAGACGCCTCCAGCTGTGGAAGACGAGTCGCGGTCGTAGTAGTCGTGCCACAGCTTCATGTAGCTGAACGCATGCACCGATACACATCTGTGCACCCGTGAATGCGACCCTGGGGGGAGGGGGAGGGGAAGGGGAGAGAAGGGAAAGGAAGCAGGGTGAGAGAGAGGGGGAGGAGAGAAGGGGGAAGGGGGAAGAGACAAGGGGAGGATCAGGCAGCAAGAAGAGGTTAGGTTGGAACAGAAATCGTTGCAGGACTGTATGGAAAGGCGAGAAAGAAGACAGAACTGAAGTGAACACAGACAAAGGAGACGAATTCACCAGGCGAAGACGAGGGGAAATTAACGTACATTAGCGAAGGTAACAGCCCACGCGCGATAGAGGTGCAGCACCGGGCACGTCCACCTGCTGGGGAACTCTGGTAGCCCGCCACACGCGACCATCCCCGCCGAAGTGTACTGAAACGGAAACCCGATCCCAATTCCGATGAACTGCACGTTGGTCGCGCCTAAAACGCGTACAGCCGGCGCGTCGATCCGGGTGTACCAAAGCCAGGGCATGTAGGAGAGGCTCGGAAGCGCGCGGATGATCGAGCAGGAGAAATTAGAGGTGAAGAATAAAGAGGAGTTCAAGGTGACGTTGCCGGCGAGGTATAGGACGACGGTGGTGGTGTTGGAGTAGGTAGTTCGGAGATTAAAATCCGCCTGTGTGCTGATAGTGAGGGTCTGGAAGGCTGTGGAGCAGGGTCCGCGCGTCGGGGGGCGAATTGCGCCATCTGCGGGGAAGTGAGGCGGGGGAACGGGCGGGGAGGGGAAAGGAGGGGGGGAAAGAGGCCGGAGGGAGAGTAGAAGGGGGGACGAGGGCGAAGGGAGAGAAGGGAAAGAGGGGAGGAGAGGTTGATTAAGAGATGAAAGGAGCGGAAGGAAGAGATAAAGGGACATGAGGAGCTTGCTAGTACGCTGAAAAGTGACACAACGAGCAAGAGTCGGAGCAAATCGGCCGCAATCCGTCCCTATCCGTCCCAGTCTCCCCATCCCATCTGGTCCGTTCCAATCCGTTCCAATCCGTCCCAGTCCGTCCCAGTCCGCGTCCCACTGCGCTAGCAGCTGGCATAATCCCTTCCTGACTGGAAGACTTACTGACGGGGAGGGGAGCGGCGGACGATATAGCAGCCATGGAAGCCAGAGTAGCAACAACGAGCGCGATTGCCGCGACAGCCATGGTCATGGCACCGCCACTGCCACTGCAGGTGGCACCGTGGAAGGCGAGAGGATTAAGCGCCTGACGCGGCGTGGAGCCGCCGCCGCGGCGCGCGCGTTTCGGCGGCACTGCCATCATGATGATGCGTTGATTCCGCTGCCGCTGTAGTGCTTCCCGGCTTTACGTGTGGTGCTGATTCTAGTGGTCTGGTGAAGGCCAGTCACCTCCCAGACGAGCCAAGGCGAGACGAATGCGAGACTAAGGCGAGGGACTACTAGTATAACACCACGACTCGGTGCGGGAACAAATCTACTACAGACTGGTGAATACGCTGAGAATAGACTAAGCTCTACGCTTAGGACCTAAAGAGTTTGAATTGTTTCACTACTTACAACCGGTACACGTACTGTAACATGTTGTCATTTGGGGGTGGGTTGGGTTGTCAAACCTGTCTGGTAAGTCCGACTTGAGTCCAGTCATACATAGCCGCTTGAAGAACGGTCGTTTTTCTGCAAGCAGTCGCGAACATGATTTTCTTGTTCCGCTTAGTCTTACCTGTGGCTGTTACTGCACTATAGGAGGCATCGCCGAACTCGCCCGCCCCCCTGAATTTTCCCCTGGACATTTCCCAATCGCGTTTCGCAGATCGCAACCTGATCTCGGTGGGACACGGGCTGGCGCAGGCTGGAATTTGGATCGAGGCTCGAACGAGGGAGGTTGCTTGCTGCTTCGAGTCTGATCAGTTGAATTGCATTGCATTGCATGCCGACAGGAAATTCGGGACGGGGAGGCGGGACTGTGGTTCTGGGAGTGCATCTGTGAGCTGGCGAGGAGATGGTTGTGGCTGTGCTAGCTGGATGGTTGGAGGTTGGGTTGGGTTGGGTTGAGGAGTGAGGTGAGTGTTGTGGGACGGTGTTGGGGTGGGGAAAATGGGAAAGTCAGCAGCCATGGGGTGGATGGAGTCATTTTTCTAGAAATGCGGCTCGATTCTTCCGCGCCACAATTTACAGTACACTAAAATTGTGCATGTGGTGATTCCACTTCGACGACCTTCCGTTCACCGCCAGAATGCGTGTACAGTAAATATGGACATTCGGGTACAGCACAGTAGCTCTGTTGACAACTGAGAGACCCTTTGATCTGGTAGAACAATACTTTCGAGTATCTCTATTCAGGGTGACCTGAAACTTGATCATGGGAAGTTCCAAGGTTTCTCTACAAAGCTGGCATTTGGAGTATACCCACATTTGGGTTCACTCACCTCCGCCGTGTCATCCAGCGGGGAATCTGGACACCCACCTTTGAAAGTTAGAACACCCTAAGGTGGGTGTACTCCGCTGTGGCAGTTTAGTTGAATCGAACATGGGGGAAGGTCATGCCCAGATCAACCGCAGAATGAATCTGCGGGGAGGTGAGACCGACCAAAATGTTGACCAATCCTACAATACCACGTCGTCAAGTATGCACCTGGCCGAAGGTTTTGGACAAGGTGGAGGGAGGCGACTTTGGGGAAGGTAGGACCAATGTCGAGTCCAGAAGCTCAGAAGGTGTCTCAGATGTCTGAGTCCACGTGGGTCCGGCTCGGACCTGACGGACCAGCTCAAGAACCAGTACGTGAACCAGGGCGGACCGGGACCAGGATGTGGGGCATGTAACCCCGTTTAACGTTCGAATGGCACTAAAACGGTGCCATATATTTGGCCCTCCAGACCAGTCCGCGCCTGGTCCGTAAACAGTTGGTGGGGAAACATTTGTTTTGGCGAAATTTCTTGTTTTGTAAGTTTCGCCTAAGATTTTTGTCGAGACGAAGAAAAAGGGTGGCTCAATGTCACATTCGTCGCTACTGCTGCATCTCGCAAATACTGTGCAGCCCGAAGCGTGACGCATCAGGCAGACCAGTCCGTGTCTGGACCAACGCTGGTCCGCCAAGTGGGTCCGTCGGACCAGAACCCCGGACCAGGCGTATAGATCCTGGTCGCGAACCAGATCCAGCGGACCCTTCACATGAGACACGTCCTCATTTTGCATTCATGTAAAGTTTGGGGGGAGTTCAAGTAGGTGAAAGTCCGGTTTGAAGCCACACACTTTCGCAGTGCAAACATTCAGAATCCGTGTTTATCTGCTTACATAAAACTGATTAATCAGTTGTTTTGTAGGACCTATCGTGCATTGTTTAAGCAAGATCAGCAAGCGAGTGTGGGTGGAATGAGCCGTGCAATTGGAGCCACTTACATTCATTTAAGATCCATCCTTATGAAATTAACAGTCGATAGCAGCTAACAAAGACGTTGAACTTCAGACGTTAGAGCAGCAAGACCACTCTGTTACGAATAGTAAGAGTTGAATATTACTGTGCACTCCTCACCGCAGCAAAGAGAAGCACGCAGTATCGCAAATGAACGCGAAGCGTCAGACGGTCGGAAACTACCCGAACCGTGTGACAGTTGGGACGCATCTGAACCGTCGGAGCAGACAGCATCAGGCAGCTGCAGGCAGGATGGTTTCGGCGGGAACAGTTTCGTAACTGTTCGCGCCGCACAGTTGGGAATGTATTTGAATAAGGGAATGTACCCCTTAGAGTACATGGCTATCTAGGTCGATTCATATTCCCCTGTACTCTTATTTATATCGTTGCATCTGCATGTCTTAACTATCTCAAGCATTTACATTCACTCTGCCGTTGAGGTCAAGGGCCCACCAACATCACTCCTCTGCATGCGAACCTTCCTGAGTAGATCCTAGGCCACGATCAACTTCTGATCTCAGCATGGTATGCGAGCGACTCAGGAATCCTTCGCATCGCCATCTCGGAAATCTACGACATTCGGAAAGTGGCGTCCGGCACATGATCACGTGTACGAATGGCCGGAGGATCTGGAGGTCAGACGAATATGACGGCTGAAGCGCAGCCCAACCCGGCTGCGACAAACGAGGAAACGACGACGATTCCTTCCGCCGTCCTCGCACAACTACTTCAGCGACTCACGAGCCTGGAGCAAGGGCTCCAGACATTGCGGAATGGCGATGCGGGAACTTATTCCCAACCCACTGAACCGGCCCCAAACGGCCAAAACTCCGCCCCGCAAGGGTTCTCCCTAGATACGAACGGCTCAACCCCCAAGACTCCCTGTCCCAGCGATAAAGCAATTCTCTCCGCGCAATCAAGGTTCTTGAGCATATAAAAAATAAAGACAAGTGTGTGCTTTGACGGCAGAGACTTTTACACCTGGAGCTTCGAGCTGGAGCTGCTGCTGCAAAACGCGTAGATTTATCATTATTTCGACGGGAGCTACTCGGGACCTGCTGAGGACACCGACGACGCAAGGACTCGCTATTATAACGAGTCCTTGATGGCGTACGGGATTCTTCTGCGTAACATGTCGCCGGCGGAGCAGCTGAACATTCCTTCATACAAGACATCGACTGCCCCAGCCCTCGACGCTTGGCGCCACCTGAACGGCGTGTATCAGCCCAAGGACTCCGTCTCCTCGAGCCGACTACTCCAGCAACAACTAGAAACTAAGATTACCTTAGGGGAGAAGGTCAACAGCTACATCAACCGCTGTCGGAGCCTTTGCGATCAAATCGTGAAGTTGGGAAGCTCAATTTCCGAGGAAATCTTCGTGAACATTGTGCTTCAAGGGCTTGGCCCAAAGTGGCGGCCCTGCAAGGCGCTCCTCCGACAGCAGGGGGTCATCTCGGAGGCCGCCCTTTGCGCCGCCCTCCTCGTCGAACAACGGGATATGGATCAGCAGCGACCAGCGCCACGACGAGAACGCGAACGGCTCGCCTTCTACACCGACAACAACGAAGAGCGACGACCGCGGTGCCTCTACTGCAAAATCTGCAGAAACTTCGGGCATTTGGCGGATCGATGGAAGTTCCGATCTCGCCCTCGCCAGACCAATCCGAGCAACTGGTCCGGCCGACAAGACGCACGAGGCGACGTGCGTCCAGCCCAAGGGTATCAACCCCCACCCGCGCGCAATCTTAACTCAACCGTTCAGCATCAGCAGCAGCAGCCATCAACTGCCCCTACGCGCAACGTCATGAGCAACATGGTTATGATAGGCGAGTCACGTCGTCGCCGTGCTCGCTCACCCTCACCTGAGCCAGCACCGCACCCCATCGGTGCGTTCACCAACAACAACCCGTTCAGCCCGCGCCGCGACTACAACGACGACGACGACCAGGACTGGAACCTCCCAGTCTTGCTGCTTGAAAGTCCCCCGCACATACCAGACATGCGGGTGGCGCCACTTGATTGGCTCTCGCACGAGCAATTTTTGAAGTTCGACACCCCGCACATCGTCACACCGCGATTGGCGCTGCTCGCACGTGACGACAGCAAGCGCTACAACACCTGGTACCTGGACAGCTGCTGCGGCCAGCATATGGTGGGCTCCGAGCGTTACATATCCAACGCCGTCCCCACCCCTACAGTAACTTACGTCACTGTGGCGAATAACACGCGCTTGCGCGCAAGCGCACAAGGCATCGTCGTGCTCAAAGCAGGTGGAAGCCGCACGCACATCACGCTTAACGAGGTGCTGATCGTCTAGATTCTGCGCTTCAACCTCCTGTCCGCCGCATAGCTCATGGACTGCGGCGTCAACCTCAGCACGGATCGCGAGACGCGAGACATCCTGCTGCACTACGAATCGAGCACATTTCCCTGCAGGCAGATCGGACGAGCGCACTCCGAAAATGGAGTGTATGTCCTAGATTTCGACATTCCCGA